CTTATTCAATCTTGCCTTTCCCTCTAGTTAATATTTCTTTTATGATTTTATTTCATGTACTTTTATGCTCATTTAAATTCTTGTTTGCTCTGTACCTGTTGCTTTCCTATGTATCAGTGACAGCTACCTGCTTGCATACTTAGTACTTGCTTTGGTCCTATTTCTATTATCCTGCTCCTGTTCTCTATGTTACTTGTTAAGCAACTTGGCATACCCTTGGTTTTTAAGTGTGCTTTATAAATAAAGTTTATTATTATTATTATTATTATTATTATTATTATTATTATTATTTGTTGATCTTATTGAGCCAGCTTGTCTGCAGCAACATGTGAAACTGTCGAAACATTACTGTACACCAGAAGCAACTGTTGAAGGCAGCAACACTAGCTCTCTTATGAGAAAGAGCGATAGAAGAGAACACACTCAAGGAATAAGCATAGAAGAATCGATTGCAGGAAAACTGAGAAGAAGAAAGGAAGAAGGAGTCAAAGGAGAGGAGCAGATATAAATTAGTCCTGTGACAAAGTGGGAAGGCTGAGCTTTAAAGGAATAAATCTCATTTCATTTTGGCCGGTAGTCACCGAGCTGACTGAACTAGATGAGAGGGCTGATTTAAGGAGGCATGACCTCAGTACCCTTGGGGGACCTTCACTTACAAGAACATTCACTTAGATCTGTTTTAGTTCGCTCTTCGTGAATGAGCCCAATCTCAGCTAGCATAAAAGCCACATGGGGTGTAAATGACAGGCTGAGTCAAAAATATGGAATTGCAAAGGAAATACAAGAGGATAAAACTTATTATCACCATTATTGTGATAAATCTCCTTTACTGTTACAGTTTGTCAGTGAAATTAACTAAATATGTTTTTTTCAAACCAAAAAATAAGAAACGAGAGAACTAAAGTGCTGCTGCTGAGGTTGGACGTGCCTTTGCATAAATATGCACACATACACAACAGGTTTTAAAATGAGGACAGTGCTCTGTGGGAAACATCTACAGGCTTCTCCACCACAGTACCCACACCAAACACCTAAACTTTCTTTATGCCTTCAACAAATTTCACTTAAAGTATAGATTTGAGTAAGGCTGCCACAAACGATTATTTTGATAGTCGACTAGTCACCGATTATTTTTGCGATTAGTCGACTAATCAGATCATGCATCCATTGGACGTAAAACGTACAGCTTATTGCACCAGCACGCATCTGCTCTAATATAACTATCATTAGCTTACAGCTTTAAGTGTTTAAGGTATGTACTAACTAAAAATAAAGACAAGATGATAGTTTATTAAATTTTGATGAAATTTGCAGATTGTTTCGGTGAAGTTTAATAAACTCCTTGCTATCTAAAATATAACGGGACACCGGAGTATATTCTCGAGCATCTCGCAGTTCTGATAATCAGTTGTCTGCTTGACGTTTATTCAGCTGTGTAAAAACTATAACTTTAATCTCAGCCAAACCGATTTACTCAGGAACAAATAAAATACTAAAAAAAGCCAAACAATAACATTTTTAAGTTATCTAAGTGACTTATATGTGTTTAACCTGAGTAGCGAAAGACGGCGGTGGGTTTGAAAACAATTTGCTGGGAGTCCGGTGTTCTCACGGGCTCTAGTGAGCCTTGCCCCCGGCTAGCTATCGAGCTAGTGGGTAACAGACTTCTCTGAAAACGTAGGAGCGCTTTTGAAAATGTGTGGTGTCTTGATAAGCTGAGCAGATATTTGAGGTTTACACAGATGCGTTCTCGCCTGAAAATATGTTAAACGTTTATTTTGTGACCCAGAAAGTATAATAAGAGTAATATTAAAACTAACTAGCTGCCGCCATTGTTGGAAACTGAGCAGGGCTGCGCTATGAATT